AGAGAGAGAGAGAGAAAGAAAGAAAGAAAGAGAGAAAGAAAGAAAAGAAAATCACGCTGGGTGCATGTGTGTGTGCCTGCTCAAAATCCCAAGGGGAGACTGGAGGTCACGGGACTGTGGCATGACCATCCCACTTTCCCTCTCTCTTGCTCTCTGTCTTTGCCTTTCTCTAGTGAGCCAAACATGCCTTATAGCAAAAAATAAATTTTTAAAAATTATTTTAATTAATTAATTAATTAATTTTACCTTGACCAGAGAGGGACAGTGTGAGAGGGAGTGAGCAAGAGAGAGAGAGAAAGTGAGAAAGCAAGCCCCTAGCTAGGTCCGGGACTCGAACCATGGTCGACCATGTGAGAATCCAATGCCCTTAACCACCATGCCACCTGCTGGCCCTGCAAAAAAGTTTGTTTTTTTTTTTTTCAGTTTCCTCTGTGTGAATATACAACTTACCTATCCATTCTCCTGTTGATGGCCCTTTGAGTTGTTCCTAGGTTTTTGTTATGAAAATACCAGTGGCGTATTTTCTTCCCCATGCTTCCTGGCACACGCACACAGCGCCTTGTGTGTATGCACTTCGGAGTGGGTGCAGTCGCTCAGAATGTGCATGAAAGTGAGACCTTTCAACTGTCTGCCAGGTTTCCAAAGCAATGTGTAAGTGACCCTGGCCCACAACCTCTCCAACATCTGGTGTTGTCAGACTTAATTTTTGCCCATTGAATGAGTATACATGGTTTCTTACTGTGATTTTTTTCTTTTTAAAGGTTTTTGCCATAGGGCACATACGCTTTCTAGAGAGAGACAAAGAGAGGGAAAATGGGAAATCACCCCCACCCCAACCCCCGGGAATGGCCATGTCACGATTCTTCTCATGGAGCCTCCTTTTCAGGTTTTTGGCATGCATGCACACATGCCTGGGATGATTATTTTTTTTTAAGAGAGATTTTTGGTATACGGTGCGTATGCTCACCAGAGAGACAGAGAAAGGGAAAATGAGAACTCATGCCCAGTGGAAATGGCCACACAACAATCTCTTCCCTCCGTTCTCTTCTTGGGATTTTGTGCGTGCATGCACACACGCCTGGCTTGAGTTTCAAGCTGTTGGGTCTGGAAGTTGAACTGCTGTCAGCCATGTGGGAATCCAGGACATTAACTGCTATACCATCTGCTGGCTCCAAATTTTTTTTCTAGAGAGAGATTTTTTTGGCTATAGGGCAAGGGTGCTCACCAGAGAGACAGAAAGTGAGAAGTCAACACCCAGGGTGGATGACCACACCACAATCCCTCCTCTATTCTCCTCTCAGGATTTTGGGCATGCACGCACATATGCCCGGCGTGAGTTTTAAGTTGCTGGGTCTGGGACTCAAACCATGCTCAGCTTCGTGGAAGTCCAGTGATGTAACCATTATTATTCTGTCTGCTGGTCCCTATATTCTCATTCTTTTTTTTTTTTTTTAAGAATTATTCAGGCGCATGTGTGTGCGTACCCAAGATCCCGAGAGAATGGAGGAGACAGGATTGTAGCATGGCCATCCCCCCTGGGGGGTGGGGTGGTGATTTATCTTTCTCTTTCTCTCTCTCTTTCTGGCGAGTGCACGTGCCATATAACAAAACCTCTCCAAAAAATTATTTATTTATTGGGGCTCACAGGTGGCATGGTAAAGGTGTTGGATTCCCACATGGCTGACCGTGGTTTGAGTCCTGGACCTGATGGCTTACTTTCTCCCTTTCTCTCCCTCTCTATCTCTTTCTGGTCAAACTTTAAAAAATAATAATTTGGGGTCAGCAGGTGGCGTGGTGGTTAAAGGCGCTGGATTCCCACATGGCCTACCTCGGTTTGAATCCTGGACCTGGCGGCTTGCCATCTCTCACTCTCTCTAACTCTGTCCCTCTCTGGTCAAATTCAAATGACTAAATGAAATAATTCTTTAAAAAAAATAATAATTTAAAAATAATAATAGTTTTTATTTTAAAAAAAAAGAATTATTTATTTAATTCCATTTGTCATTATTATTATTATTTTAATTTGACCAGAAAGAGAGAGAGAGAGAGAGAAAGAGAGAGAGAGAGGAGAAGCTAGAAAACAAGCCACCAGGTCTGGGACTCAAACTGCAGCCATGTGGGAATCCAGAGCCCCCAGCCACCACCCGACCTGCCGGCCCAATATTCTCATTCTTAAAGAAGAAGAAAATTATGTTTAGAAATTCTAGTCAAGGGGCCCAGCCAGTAGCATGGTGATTAAGGCAGCCAAATGCCACACAGCTGACTTCATGATTCGAGACCCAAACCTGGCACCTGAAAATCACGCCAGGCACATGTATGTGCCTGCCCAAAAATCACAATAGGAGAATGGAGGAGAAGGGATTGTGGTGTGGCCATCCTCCAGGGGGTAATTTCTCACTTCTCTCTGAGTGTACATACCCTATAGCAAAAAAATGTTGAAAATTGTTTTAAAAATGAAACAAATTCTTTTTTTTTTTTTTGGAGAGGTTTTTGCTATAGGGTGTGTGCACTCACCAAATAGAGAAAGAAAGAGAGACAGAAAGCCAGAAATCACCCCCCAGGGGGATGGCCACACCACAACCCCTTCTTTAGTCTCCTCTCCAGATCTTGGGCACGCACGCATATGCACCTGCGTGAGTTTTAAGCCACTGGGTCTGGGACTTGAACCGTGGTCAACTACATAGGAGTCCAGCGACATAGCCATTACACTAACTGCTCGTCCCAAAAAATGAAAGAAATTCTAGTCAAGGTATTTATCCAAACCCTAAGCCTGTAAGTGGCCAGCAGGATTCAAACCTAAGTCCCTTCACATGCAAAATCAGGTTGTTTCCATTAGACCACACTGCCCTCTCTGCCATTACTCTAAACTCCATCCCCACTGCTGCTGTCAACTCCTCCCTCCTGAGATGTACAGAAAGAAGCCCCCACCATCTTGCCTGAATTTGCTTCTCCAGAGACTCACTGCAGAACCCCAAAGCAGGATCTGCACCCGTAAGTCTTTTCTGTTCTGGAGCCCCAAGACCCCCAGCTTCTGTGCTGACCTCCTACCCCACAGAAATGCAGAAACATTTCACTGAGACCCTTGTGAGTTGGCTCCAACTGGACTGGCAGGCGGCGGGGGGGCCGTTCCTGGGTTATGTTAGACCCTTACTACTCAGAGGGTGTCCTATGCGGTGGGAACTGACTGTGGCAGCAGCACCTTGGAGTTTATTAGTAATGTACACCCCCACCCTCTGAATTAGAACCTGCTTTTTAAAAAGAGTCCCAGGTGATTTATTTGCACGTTAAAGTCTGAAAAGCCCTAAGTTAGACCTCAATCCCAGGGGAAACAGGCTTAATGCCTGCCCATGTAACTGACCCTCTGCGGCTCTTGGCTTGGTTGTTAGGGGCAGCTGTGAGCTGCTCCATGATGTTATTGTAAGGAGAACTTGGATATTAAATTGCAACCAAGGCCTGGGAGATTAATGCACAAAGGAAACCTTG